TGTTAGGGTAACTGCAGCCGCCGTAACGGTGTGCATCCCACGGCAACAGACCGCCATCAAAGCCCCTCTGCACGGGCCTCGCCTCCCCGCCCCGTAACCCTCACTGCCAGGGCTGCGCTGGTGGGGCGCGGGTGCCCCGAACAGCCTCACCACTGCTGAGCCTCGTCGCCTAGGAAGACAGTACGAGGCTGGCTCGGGACTGCTGCTTATGCCTCCCCGGGGACGAGCAGATACTACGTGGCTTCAATTCCAGGTCATCCAGATGTCTCGTTAGTAAAGCCAAGTTAAAGGCCAGCTCAGGTGGGGACCGCGGACAGCCCCCGCAGCCCCCTCTCAGTCCGTGTGAGCCTAAGCAAGGGGTGGGGAGCTTCCCGCTCTGCGTACGGACCTGTGGTTTGGAATGTCGATGGGGTCGCTTGGGTTATAATAATTCCGTCCGATCTGTTGCAAGTTCATGATTTTCAAAAGCCTGGCAAGAGAAGGGTCAGACTAGTCTGAGAAGTGGGCGGTGACGCGCACCTCCGACGCCTGGCAGGGCGGGCGGTGAGGGCAGGTGTGGCCAGACCACGGCCTGCAGCCGGCCATGTGCCTCCAGGGCCGAGTGCTCAGAGCTTCTCGAAGTCGGCAACGATGGGAAGGGAATGACAAGAACTGCGCGAGACAAGAATGTAAGCTCAGCAGTGTCCACCGAGGCCCTGCACACGGCCTGCCAGGAGCTGCTCTCCTGCTGCCACGCAACCCCAGTCTGTGCCCCACCTGGGGACACATCTACCCGGTGTGACCTGTCCGCCCGTCCCTGCGTCACCTCTGACCCCCTAGGTGAATGGCCCCAGTGCTGTGCCCCGTGCCTGGACATGCTGGCATGTGAGCTGTGCCTTCCTGACCACGTCCCTGCGGCGGAAAGGGCCAAGGCAGCGAGATACTCTCGAGTACGTCCCAGTGGCACCAGAGCAGTGTCTACGCAGCCAGGGGACCGAGGACAAGGACACCCACAGCCGCGCGTCTATGTACGCCGGGGCACGTGCCATAACCATGACCCAGAGCTGCCCAGTGACCCTGGCCACACCGCTGAAGCCAGGTGCCAAGCCCGGGGCCGCCCACCCACCGCCCGGCCGCGGTGCCCAGCACCTCCTGAAGATGATGTTGTAGAACTGCAGACAGGTAGGCGACGTGGGCGGCAGCTCACTGGTCAGCGTGATGGTGACCCGCACGTGCTCCCCGCTCCTGGTCTGGCTGAGCACCTCCGTGACCTGCAGCCAGGGGCGGGCCTGCTATCACCGCTGAGCAGAGACTAAGCCCAGCACACGACCGCCCTGTTCGCTGAGCAGAGGGAAACCAACCCTGACAGTAAAGGGAATTTACACCCTGGCGCGAGGGGCCGGTAGGTGGCCTAGGGTCAGGACGCGGGACTCCCACACGGCCAACTGCCTCTTTATGCCCTGGACCTGTAATTCACACCAGGCCCGGGTGCCGGTGGAGCGCCCTGGAGAAGGGGGGTGATTTCTCACTTCCTCGCCATCTTTCTGACGGGCACACGAGCCCTCTAGCAAAATATCGCTCTCCAAAAAAAAAAAAAAAGGCCGCGAGGACAGAGGGGCTCAGCGCGTCCTCCGGGGGTGGCCACCAAGTGCCGTGTGGATCGCACAGTGACGGACAGGGGCGAAGCACCTCCGGCCTCCCCGCCACCTGGGGCTGACGGTCACCTGCCCCCACGCCGGCTCTGCGGCCAAGTGGGCCCCGCCCCGCCGTGACCTTGTGCTGCAGCCTCTTAGGTAGGAACAAGATGGTGCCGTCGAACGCGTGGCATCTCCCGATGAGGTCCTCGTGCTGGAAGAGCAGGGCGGAGCGGAGCCGCCGGGCCTCCATCAGGGGGCTGTAGTCGACGTGGTACTGGAACAGGGCCCACTGCGGGCGCGACGTCAGCCGGAAGTGGTTCGTGCTCAACCGCACGATGATGCCCGAAGAGCCTGCAGGGGGTCCCACCCCGTCACCGACACCAGCTCATCGGCTCTGCGGTCGTCCCACTGTGACATGGGACGAGGCAGGCGTGAGCCCACAGACAGGCCATGGGCAGTAGGCCACGCCCGCACGGGTGCCCGGATCCTCACCATGCGGCTGGCTCCCTGCCTAGAACTCCTGAAGAAATTCCCTTCAGCTACACGGAGTGCACCACCAGCCACGCCCCCTCACGGAGTCTTACACGTGAGCGGCATGGCGGTTAATGCATCGCGAAGCGTGCGCTCAGACGTGTACGCCTGGTCGTCACAGCCGCGAGGGACAGAGACAGGGAGCAGCCGTGGAGGACACCTGACCCGACGCGCTCCCACCAGGAAGGCGGCGCCGCCGCAAGGGCTCAGGGGCCGGCCTCGAGGCGCCACGCCACCCGCGTGCCTGCTGGGCCTCCCGCACAGCCGCCTGCCTACCTGTTTTTGACTCTTTCACATGGTCGAGGTTCTGCCGGGTGTTCACCCCGAGGTCGTGGACATCTCTACGACGACCGCCTCGCTCTGCTAGCGACAACTCCTGAAATCCAGCAGATATCTGGAGTTCTTAACGAGAAGGGAAGAAAGGGGGTCACATACTCGGGCAGCCCCGTGCACGGAGCCACTCGCCAAGACCCGCACGCCTGCGGCACTAGAGGCCGCCCTCGGGTCCCACACGGCCGCCCCAGTGCCCGAGCCAGCTCAGCTGCTGCATGGACAGACGCCACGGGAAACCGAGGCCACCGGGGACGAGAGCCTGGGGTGCCCTGCGGACTCCCGAGTTAGGCAGTACACCTACGGGCTCTGCTGCAGGCTGAGGAGACCCGGTCGCAACACCCCAACCGGAAATGCTCCGAATCAGAGGCACAGCGCACACCGCGAAGTCCCACACCCACTTCACGCACAGCACCTCAGCGGGCTCTAAAGCACCGTGCGAGGCCGGCTGTGGCGGGGCAGGGCTGAGCTGCGTGCTTAGATGGGTCCTCCAACCCCACCGTCCACGGTGGGCACGCGTGTGCGGGCTCTGCCCTCCCGTGGCCCTGCCTCCCATGGCCCTGCCCGCCCCGCCCACGGCTGCCCCGGCTCCCGGGCTCCCTGCACGGCTCACCTTGTGACTTGGCTGCTGCTCCTGCTGATCCACGCTGGCGCCCCCTGCCGACCAGCTCCCCCTCTGTGGGTGGCTGCTGCAGTCTGGGCGGGAGGTACCCGGGCTGCTGGCTCTGCAGTGGTCAGGGGCAAAGGGCACCACTGGCTACGTCAGGAGGTCGCCTCCCGGGCACTGCCCGGCCCCAGTCGGGGCCTTTAACCCAGGCCGCCAGGCTAGTGATGCCGACGGCCGCCTCCCGGGCACTGCCCGGCCCCAGTCAGGGCCTTTAACCCAGGCCGCCAGGCTAGTGATGCCGACGGCCAGAGCTGGGCAAGGCATCGCCTCTCAGAAGAGCCCCCCTTCCGAGCAGACCGCCGCTGAAGGCCTCGGAACCCAGCAAAGCTGCTGGCCCGCCCTCCTCTGCGGGCAGCCCCGGCCAGGCTCCGGCCTCCCGGTGGGAGAGGCACTCACCACTGCCACTCCCACGTGCTGCGCCGGCTCCCGCTCGCGGGCCCTTCCTCGGGCTCTCGCTCGAGCTCGCCCCGTCATTATCCTTCTGGAGGGAAAAGAAGTGCAAGGGTGACAGTCAGTGTCCAGCCCCACCGGCCATGCCGGCACGTCCCTCTGGGTGTAGACGGGCTCCCGAGGACGATCCCAGGCCGGCCTCTCCCCAGTGTTCCCACGTGCCTGTTTCCTTAGGCCGCGCGGCAGGTGCTCCCAGGGCAGGGCTGCACAGAGCCGACCCACCCTGAGGGTCACTGTCCATGCCATCACATGCTACACACATCGGGGTGGGCAGTGTAAGAGAACACGCAGGTGCTAGCTCTTCCTGTCCTGGTGACACGTGCCCCCACGGGCTGACCCTGGGCGCTGAGGCACGGCTCCTGCCCTGGCCCAGGTAATGCTGCACAGTGAGTCCTCCTAGGTCTCCCGTTCCACGCACACCTCAAGCCCACACAGCACACCCAAACTAAAACCCCATCTGTCCCCTCACGGTGCCCTGATGCCACTGGAAGGGGGTCAACACTGACTGAAATGACGGCCGTCTACCCGAGCCGCACGGTCAGTGCTGCCGGCCCGCCCCAGCCCCTCCTCCCTCCAACTGCACGTGTCCCAGCGTGCCTGTGGCCAGAGGGTCAGTGCCAGCGTCGCATCCGCCGCCCTGCGTCCACAGCAGGAGAACAGTGCCGTCAGGCCATCGAGAAGGCGCAGAGCTCCCCCGCCTGAGCTCGGCCACTTCCGTCTTAGGCCAGGGACTGAGCAAACCACACACTCGTGTCCCTGCCGTTCACAGGGAGTCAGGAGCGAACAGGGCACGTGGGGGCTCCGGCCAATAGGGGCCGACCAGAAAACGCAGACGAGGTGACGACCTCCTGCTCGCACGGTCATGAAGGGGACAGGAGCTGCCTTCCACACGACAGCGAGGGGCCAGGCGGCGGCTGGGGACCGTGCACTGTGCTAAGGGCCCGTCTCGCGGCAGAGCTGAAGCTGCCCAGGGTGAGCGAGGGCAGGGGCCAGATGCAGGCGTTAGGGAGCCGCAGAAGGCTCTGAGGGGAGGAGGCTCAGTCCACGTGCCGAGCCGGCCCCCAACCCGCGACGCCCTCCCAGACGGGCCTTGGCCGTCCTCCAGCTCCGACGACCTCTTCCACTCCTGTTTCAACGAGGTTGGACCAGCCGCACTGGCTCACCACAGGAGACTCTCGCGATCGGGCTCTGCACAGGTGATCTCCAGACCTGTCCAGTGGCCAGCACATTACAACTGTCCACCTCGCTGTAAGCTACTCGTTTAATGTCACCCTCTGCACGCGCCAGGGCTCATGCCCACACACCTCGCCCCCAGGAACGCGGACCAGGTCGACCACTGCTGGGGGCTGAGCCAGCCGTGGCCCACGGCTCACCTGCAACCACCCACCTGCCCCTCCTCTCCACAGCAGGCGCCTCATCTGCCCTTTGCTGTCCCCGCGCATCCTCTCCTCCAAGCTGCTCCCCAACACGGGTCAGGATGTCGGCTCACATGCACCCTCTCTAGCTACAGCACCAGGGCGCTGGCCACACGCGGGCCAGCAGGCACCTCGGCAACAGCCACGCCCAGGGGCGTTTGTAAAACTCGAGAAAGCTCAGCTTCACCGGCAACCTCTGAAAGTGGCGAGGGTTTCTCAGCAGAACCTGCTGGGATGCAGGATTCCAAGGAAGGGCCAGCCCCCAGCCCTGCTGAGTTCCCCAGGCGCTCTGGCGGAGCAGGGACGCGGGGGCGTGCTGTTCTCAGAACCACATGTGGCCAGCAACACCGAGGTCGTGGCCAGCGTGGCTCTGGATCCCGTGTGGCCCCTTTTCATTACAAAGAACCCCAGTCCAGGCGGCACCAGCGAGAAGGCCGAAGGTTCGGCCATTGAGACGGAACACAGGACTTGGGAGAGACTGAGGGAGCTCACCACCGACTGCTGAGAAACCCCTGCGGAAGTAACTGAGGCGGGAGCAGTACCGGGAATGGCGGGGAAAGGTTTTATGGAGCACGTTTTTGCCACAAGAGGAAAGGAGGGCAAAGACCAGGCTGCTCTTGTACCAGGTCACCCGGCCGGTGGTGCAGTCAGAAAGTCCCCCAAGCTCCACCCAGCGCCCCCACCCCAGCCACAGCAGGCTCCACGCTGGCAGCCCTTCGTCCTGGGGCGGCGGCAGCTCAACGCAGCAGCCCAGACGGGGGCGGGGAGACAGGGACAGGTGTAGGTACTGGGTCTGAGTGCAGGCAGGGCGCAGCAGGGGTGCAGCACGGGGACAGCGGGCTGTGGCCAGGGCGCAGACACGGGACTGGGGTGCGGTGGGGCAGGAGTGCAGGAGGGGTGTGGACACAGGAGGAAGGGATGCAGGCGGGTTGCAGACACCGGCGGGCTGCGATGCAGGGTGTGGAGTGCAGACCGGGTGTAGACGCAGGTGCAGGTGGGGCAGGAAT